TATTTTTGCGTAAGATACGCAAATTTAATTCTTGCTTCCAAATGACGTCATTTGGAGCAACTAAAATTTGCGATCGTGCATCCGATGGACGTAATTTTGAAACTACATTCAAAATTCAAGGCCAGGTGTACCATAAAATCGGATCACTGATGCCAATGCCTGGTAACAATCCGAAATTTCTTCAAATTTATTTTATGGGCGATTGTGAAGAGCGCGTGACGACTCGGTGCCTGTATAATTTTATTGAACAAGCAGAGGAAAGAGCAATTGTGATATTATTGGAAAATTTTTTAGTAGACCAGTTGTTGGCTGTATACGATATAGTGGCAAAAGCGAGGTTTGCCTCATGCCCACATTTTGGTTTGGCTTAAAGATAGAATCCGTCTTGAAGAAATCGATCAAATAATTTCAGCCGAAATTCCAGACCCATTAATTGATCAAGAATTATTTGATATTGTCACCAAACACATGATCCATGGGCCATGCGGTGCTTTCAACATGACGTCACCGTGCATGGAAAATGGAAACTGTAAAAAAAACTTCCCAAAGCCGCATACGAATGATAAGATCACGGATATTGATGGTTATCCAATGTATCGCCGCAGAAGTACTGAGAATGGTGGCCACCCATTTACAATGCGACTCCCGAACTTTCCAAATCAATTTGAGTTTGATAATCAGTGGGTGGTACCATACTCACCACTACTTTCAAAAAATTATAAAGCTCATATCAATGTTGAGCTTTGCAGTTCTGTTAAATCAATTAAGTATATTTGTAAATATGTAAACAAAGGCAGTGATTTGGCCATATTTGAAGTACAAAACATAAATAAAAATGACGAAATAGCACGATACCGAATGGGCAGATACATTAGCAGCAATGAAGCTATTTGGCATATTCTCAGCTTTCCCATCCACGAAAGAGATCCTGCTGTTCAACATCTGGCAATACGTCTTGAAAACGGTCAACGTGTATACTTCACAGAAGAAAATGTTCTCCAAAGAGCGTTCGAAGCTCCGAAAACGACTCTAACTGAATTTTTTACATTGTGTCAAAAATCTGATGTTTTTGGCCAATTCGCGAAAGGTATTGGTATATGGTGATGTTCCACGTTATTTCACATCTGGAACATTTCCGGTAAAGGTAGAACCACGGAAACAAGAAAACCACATCCTTCCATTACAGGCATATTCAAAGCTAAGACATTGGGAGACTTTACACGGTACATCCAAAGCAACGTGGTGCTTCTATTTACGTTGTTATTGGTGAATGTTCCCGGACCAACGTCTTTTGAATTTTTACGAACAGTTAATGGTCGAGTATTCAATACATACCAGGATGCATGTCGTGAACTGCAATTGCTAGAAGACGGTAGGGACTTAACGCTTGCTGATGCTGCGTTGACATCAACACCGAATAACATTCGTCAGTTGTTTGCAATTATTTTGACGACATATTTATCCCTCGCAAACACAAACTTTGTGGGAAAATATAAAAATTGTATGACAGAAGACATCTTGCACCGAATTAGACAAACAAATCAATGCCAAAACACTTAGATTATACACCAGAGATGTACAATGAAGCATTGGGGTCTTGATCGAGTTTATGTGTTCTTATTTCGTTACCTCTTAATCATTATGGTATGCCATCACCTAATCGTCCAGCCACCGATTTTATGTACCGATTTACAACGAGAAAAGCAATATATGACCATGGAAGTTTGCTTAACAATTATCATGAACAGTGAACCATTACTGACATGGGGCAAAAATTATTTATGATCGGATTATGCTGGCTGTTGCTGCTGAACAGGCGGTTTTTTTTCTTGGATGCACCCGGTGGAACCGGTAGACATTTTAATATCGTTGATTCTCGCCAAAATACGGTCGCAACAAAAAATCGCATTAGCAGTAGCATCGTCAGGCATTGCGGCTACTTTACTGGATGGTGGGCGAACAGCACATTCAATATTCAAGCTGCCATTGGACGTTCGCAATAAACCAGATCCAATGTAACATCAAAAGAATAGTGGAATAGCTGCAGTGTTGCGGAAGAGTTCTATAATAATTTGGGATGAGTGCACAATGGCACACAAATATTCACTTGAAGCATTAAACAGAACTATGCAAGATTTGAACAGCAATAATAAACTTTTCGGTGGTGCTATCTTACTTTTGTCTGGTGACTTCCGGCAGACCTTGCCGGTTATATACCTCGCTCTACTTTTCATGGATGAATTAATGCATGTTTAAAACAATCATTCTTTATGTGGCGAAATGTTGAAACACTTCGATTGACCATAAATATGCGCGTTCAATTGCAAAATGATCCATCAGCACAAATATTTTCCAAACAACTACTAGATATTGGAACGATGAAATAGGAACTGCAACGATTTACGCAATGCATTAAACTACCAGACAATTTTTGCACTGTTGTTCAGGATAAAAATGAATTGATTCAGAGTATTTTCACGGATATAGAGAATAATTATTTGAATCATGAATGGCTTAGTCAACGGGCGATTTTGGCAGCCAAAAACGTTGATGTTGACGAAATTAACTTCCAGATACAACAGTTGTTACCAGGCGATCTGATGTCTTTTAAATCAATCGATACTGTTGTTGATGAAAATGAAAGTGTAAATTTTCCGATTGAATTTTTAAATTCATTAGATATCCCTGGAATGCCACCACATAATCTTTCATTAAAGATTGGTTCCCCTGTTATTCTCCTCCGTAATTTGAATCCACCTCAATTATGTAACGGTACGCGTTTGGTCATCAAAAAGATCACCGGAAACATTCTTGAAGCAACCATTTTGGCTGGGAAAGTTTGGAAAAATAATGCGTAACTGAAAAAATGCCGAATACGCCGAATACCGAATACCAAACGAATATTCGGCGCATTTTTAGTTATAATGTTGTTTGTTGATATTCGAAATTACCGAAAAAAACATTAGTTCTGATTATAACCTCAAATTATGTCTTTCATCAGTCCTTTGGCGTCAGTCCTTTGTCAGGTATCGCGGTATCAGGTATCTTATATTCCCAACAATTTTACAATGAAGTTGTTTTTGTGATACCGATGGATGTAATCATTTCAAGCTAGGGTCTATTAGATATCAGCCAGAATTATGTGCTAAAAATAGTACACGTCCAAATACTTCTACCGTATTCTCAGACTCTGAAGATGACGTACCATTATCTACATACATTAAAGACAATGACGATCGGTCTGAATTGGATAGCGATCGATCAGCACCAGGAACTAGCGGTTATTCGCACCATCAAAGTCGTTATAGTAGTGGTGATTATGTTTTGGTCAAATATCTCACAAAGAAAATAGAATATCATTATGCAGCGGTCTGCTCTTCGGTTGATGAAGACGATGAAGTAAGAGTAACTTTTCTCAAAATTTGTAACCAGAATGGCACTCCGTTTAAATTGGATGAAAAAGATGTGTCAGATGTTCCCGTGGATCAAATAATAAAAAAAACTACCTGTACCAGACCTCATTACAAAAGGGAAGAGAGTTTTTTACCAACTTAAGGAAAAAATTGATGTTTTCGAAAAATAAGACATAAAGACATGTGTGTGCCATTATTGAATCTTAAAAGATTCGTACAAATTTTTAATAAAATTCATTATAATCCTTACAAAATTGTGTATTTTATCAGTACTATGTTACCCTCGTCAGTCCCCTGGCAGTCATAATCTGAAATTTTTAAATATCTCACAATCTACTTAAAAAAGTGACTGGCCCGATTTGGAACAATATATTCATTAGATTAGCCATCATATACACCCGAATTTGTAGAAATTTGATTTAATAACTATAGTAAACAAAATATCCTCAAAAGTTACCCAACTTTTGTATAATCACCCTTATACGAATTACCAGAACCGATGAACACATTGTGTAATCAATAACGCACAACTTTCGCGCCGTAATTTTGGTGTTAGATGCAATCGGTTGGAGCACGATGCCTGAATAGTCACGACGGTTTAAAACATGAATTTGATGAAGATGACATTCCTATATCTTGCGATTTATTTTCGTTCCCTTCTCATACGACCCACCGACATCAACCATTGGATCGGTGAAGATTAAGACAGTTCGCAAGGTCAGCAATTCAGACAACGCTGAACTGCCAAGACGAGAGTCTACAAACGAAGAAAAAGCGAGCGAATGAGACTGAATTAACGATCTTCGGCCCCACCCGAAGTCGCTGGCAAATGACGCAGAGAAACACGCATGCCCGCCAGCAGTGATTTCATAATGAATAACCGCTGGATAAGACACTCGAGTCAAGAATTGAATAGTTGTACGTTACACTGGAAGTTCACAGTAATATTAATCTGCCAATTAATAGTCTGTGAATATCCCCTGCTGCTTTGCGTGTATTACATTTAATTTTTGATTTATTTTTAACATGTTAATGTAGTCACTAATTTCCATTTGTGGATTTAATAGTTGTATCGTTTTGTGATACATTTTTTTAGTTTTAGTTCAAGTTATGTTCTTTTACGGGTTCACTGGTATTGTATTGTATTTATATTAATTCGTTGTAACGTGTTGTGATACTGTTTGCTGTTGCTGCACGTTTTGGTTATGTTTTGGCCAACAGGCACGGCGGCGTTTAGTGCATGTAAATTTATATTTTGCGAAATTTTATCTGAAGGGTTATTATTTATTTTATTGAAAATGCTTCACTTGTACATGAACCGTTTCTTTATTCGTCTCCAAGAAACTGATGCAGACTAACCAACAGACAGCGACAAAATGACGACGTGCCGCGCCTAATGGTGCGATTCTGTGCGATTCGCACGTTGCATACGTAGCGAAGCTGAGAGGACGCTTCGTTCGTCGGTGCAGAGCAGCGCAACAATGCAAGAGGCCTAGCCTAAACTGTCGTTTTTCCAAGGTCATATACAGGATATTCGCGTAGTGTTCGAAATGCACAGACTCGGCTTTATTTTCAAGTGCAAGTCTGCAGGGTTGTACTAAATTTTTTATTTTATATTTTATTATTAGATGGTATTCTCAACCGAATTAGGCGCTTGGTGAGCTCAGCAGCCTAGTGAGAGTTTCCTCCCTCCAGGCAAACCCTTGTAGATGCTCCCCAAGCACTTGACACTTCCAATTTGGACCAGAACGCTTCCACGCCCGTGTATGTTGCAGGATGTTCGGGACAAAATTTTACTTCGTAGTGGTGCATGCCGTCTAAATCGTCCACCGTGTTGTTTGCCTTCCATGAATCGGTCATAGCCTGAAAGTAAAATTGTTCGTATCCAGCCAAGGTACAGCGTGCATTTTGGTGAACCTATTTTGCGCGCGGCTCGGGTTAAGCGCCCTGCCCGTTTGTGACGTTAAATTTTTCTCATCAGAAATCATCCGACTTGCCCTGTATCCTATTTCTCCACTTCATCCAGCCTAGCATCAAACACGCACCTGCGCATAGCCCAAGTTTCTCCAACATTGACAACATTGGCCAGTCAATTTCTCTGCAGCTTAGAATTTGACAGTGAGTGTCACTACACGCGCGCGGGTAATCTATGTGTTCTTCAAGTACACAAATTAATACTTATTATTTCAATTTTGATTCTTTACTGACATTTAAAAAACGCAATAATGAAAATTTACGATTTCTTGTTTTGATTTTAAATAGCCTTTGAAGAAGAGTAATCGAAAAAATAATATCTTTTATATGTTGCATATATGGTTCTTTATTTGAGATTTATCTGAAAACTGGCATAAGTTGTCATAGTTACCATAATTTACCGATTTAACAAGATTTTAGGTGAATTCATGAGAATCCAAACAAAATGGATTTTGTAGTAGATAAAGTATCAGAAGACTCATTCTTTATTAATGTGTCAGTTCTTCTTCAACTTCATGCAGCATTCCAATCATGCACTGTTCACTTACATCTGGATACAAATAATATCTGTACTGGATCCCTTGAAAATCTTCTTCTTCAAAAACCATTGCTCTGCACATATAAAAATACATTTATATAAAATTAATCCATTAAGTTAGACTTATTTCTGAATATAGTCCTTTATAATATCAAATAGCTTATATATGGCAATACAAAATGCCCTAAGAGTCTGTACTCTTACAAAGAATGTCCTTCCAGCCATAATAACATGCATGCCAAAGTTGTATCAATTATTCCAATTAAGTCTAAGTTACTTATGCCCCATAACAATAAACTTCCATCCTAAAACAATATTTTAAAGATATTGCCATTCTGGTTTGCTATATTCATTTACTTCAATTGATTGATCAAAAGAGTTGGCTTTCTTGTTACCCCTGTTGCATAGCATGCCTGCATCCATCTTTGGATCAATCATCTCAATAGCAGACATAGCTTCAAAACAACCAAACAGTGTCATGAAGCAGTTCTCCTAGTTCCAAGTCTGCAACTTGTTAGAGTCTTTATCTATAAAATGATGATACTAATCAGATTTTCCTAGCAAACCTTGAACTGATGTCTGAAACTCTTTTGTTATGTCCACCCAATTATTCTGGGCTTTGGTACCACCATTGGACACACTATTAGTTGGTGTCATTGATGGTGATATCACATTACCTTGCATGCCTTGGTTATCATTTGTCGTTACTTCTTTTGTATACTCCATACTCAAATTACACTCTAGAATACATTTTGAAGTGGTTCTAAAAATTTGATTGTTACACTTGAAATGTAATGAAGGCATTCAGCATCAAGTGTACTTCACTGTTGATTCCATTTGGTACATTCAGTACAGTCAGGTTCTGTGCATGTACTTCATGCAGAATTATTAATTTTTTCCAAGTATCTAGACCTGTGTGTGACAAGTGATAAATGCATATAAATATATAATAATACTTTTATAATACTTACTTTTATATAAGATCAGCGCACAGTGTTTACTTTATGTGTATGGGCATGTGCATTTCAAAGGCGCCAAACCTTCAACTGATGCATACACCGGCAAAGCCCATGCACCACACTCGTGCACCACACGAACAACACGCTCATTACTTATACTTACTTATAAGCCTTATAGTGAACACAGAATCGCATCATAGAAACACGTTTATAACCTAACTCTTTCATATGTACTTTGAAACATAATTCATGTTGAGTACAAGTGTAGTACCAACGTTCTTATTCTGCCTACATTTGCAATGCAGAACTTAAACATCAACAAAGTAAGATCTTATCCACATTCACATAATTGTGGAATCATAAAAGGTATTCACTGTGGTTCATTTGTGTGCCTATTGATACATCAACAAGATCACACTCAAAATCAATCTGCATACTTTATAAAACTTGTAACAAGTAATAATGAGGAAAAAGCATCCCTTGAGATAGACATTGGCAAAGATATCATTACCTCTCAGATTTGGACTACATAGCTCTAGTGAATTTGGCATTTGTGTCAACTTCCACTAGAATATTTATGATTGATTGTAACACTCCAGAAGTGGTTTCCATAAATATTCCAGTAGTAAATGATGACTGTGTAATTGCAACTTCATGGAATTCTGAACATGATTCCTTGGCAGTTGCCTACCAATCTGGTAAAGTGATGGTGTATTGCATAAATTATGCAACTTTCAATCTAATTTTATTAGCTGAAGATAATCCAGAACACAAGGTGATTCTTTAATTAGTGATTGCTTGTCATTTCTTTTAAAAGTAAATGTTTGTAGGGTGAACAAAGTGTTTATTTGGGCTGGGGGGATGTCAAAAAACAATTTAAAGGGAAAGCAGTTGCATCATACTTGAAGGAGAGTCATCCACCAGGTATCAATAATCTGATTGATTAATAAGCTTATGTATTTAATGTTTTTTTTTGTTTTAGAAAGTACATACAAACACTTATCACAGGATGCATTTATAAGTTGGCAAGTTGGTGAAAGGTTTTTCTTGGTAAATTCACAGTTAGCCAATGAACGAGTCATTCGAATTTTTGATAATGAGTGTCGACTATTTTATACTATAACAAACATGAAGGTTCCTGGGCTTTGTTCGAAAACGGCATTTCGGCCAAAACACAATACACTCGCAACTGTTTGCAAAAGCGACGATTCGACGTCATATATTGTTATGCATGAACGAAATGGAGAGTACTATAATACAATTTTCCCATCTTCTAATGTAAGTAGATAAAGTAGTTGAAACTTTATTGTAACAATAATTCTTCTTTTATATAGGGAAATGTTCAAGACATACAATTTAGTACTTGCGGCCGTATCTTTACTATTTTGTCATATTCCAAGGAAAAGTATTTTCTAGATGTATATATGCAATCAAACTTCATATGGTTACATAAATTCAGGTTTACTGAAGAAACTGAGAAATTAATGATTGCATTTAGATTAAATCAAACAATAGAAGACACATATTCGATTGAAATGATATATTACGATTGCGTCGCTATCTATGAACTAGTCCAAGTAGTAACCTCTGTGGAAGATTGTCACAGGGTATATGTTCATATTGGCAACAGTTTACAGGAATTTGATTACAAGAAAAGCGTTATTCCACCTTGTGGAGTAATTGATTCAATTTTAAATACTAATGAACCGATTAATAATGTGGTTGCACATGAAAATATCTTGATACTTATAGATTCACAGGAAGTTGCACACGTGTATCGGAAGCGGGACGAAAAATGGCAAGAAGATCACCCAATTAACTTAAAATTAAAATCCAATAACTTACCTGTCACATGGACGAAATATTTATTAAGTGTAATTGATGATACAGATTGTTTGATGGCCATTGGATTTGTAAACAATACATGTATGAAACGTATTGTAAGGCTTGATGGTGATAAAAACAATGATCATCAGGAGGTTACAGAAAATGTTAATTATGCTTATAAAACAAGCAATAGTAACATTATCAATGTGATATCCGCGGATGCTTATAGAACCAGTAGTATACAATCAGTATTTAATTTTTCTGAATTGAAAGTGGATTGTGTATTACTCCAGAATGGGGAATTGTACATTAACCAGAAGTGCTTTGCGAAAGGAGTCACTTCAGTACTTAACTATACTGAGTTGTATTTACTGATAACTATTACCTGCTATGATGATCCAATGGATCGAATGTATTGCATAACTGTTGAACGTTTATTGACACAGTCATTGCCACCAATCAACGAAATTTCCTGGTCTCGACGAATCGAAAAGGGAACGATATTGATTTGTATGGCGGATGATGATGGCAGTGTGATTTTGGAAATGCCTCGTGGAAACATTGAATTAGTTACTGTACGACCAATTATTTTGAGAAAACGCCCGCGCTTACCGCTGATGGAAGTTTTATGAAATGTATAATCCTCATTAGAAGACTCTGCTGTTCAAAACGGACGTACTTCCTAAGGCGATTTGCCGTGGATTTGTTTCACCAAAACGTGCCTGTTTTTGTGAAATCGCTTGGTAGTACTGAATCAGTCATCAAGTTTCTGTTACCATTGAAAAACAAGTCGACATTGACCCGTACTGACTTCTTGTTTGTGAATGAGTATCCAGTAGAAGACAAGCGACGCAAGATTTTGATGCAATCATTGAAGTTTGCTCTAAATATAAAAGTGATGAAAATGATCTGGATCACTATAGAATTATCTGTATTGCACTTTTTGTAAAACATAATTATGATTCTTACGAATCATTACGATTTCTTGTGAATCAGATTGGCGGGATATACACAACAAAAGTGCTGCTTCAAGTAGCTGACGTTATTAACATGTTAAAAATGTATGGTGATCCCAATGAAATGTACAAACAGGCGTTGGCACTCTATGATGTTGAATTGGCAGCGACAATTGCACAGCTGGCCGGCATGGATCCGCAGGTGTATAGAAGATTTTTAGAACTTTGCAAAAACAGCAGTCCGATTAGTAGAAGATTCTTGATGGCCAATGAGGGTGGGAGTTACAAAGCTGCAGGTTACTTGTTAATTTTGTATAGGAAACGTGAAAAAAACTTAGCGGACTTTATGGAGTATATCAAAGATAAGGCTGTACTCGACGATGTTTTTAAGGCGATGAATAAGGATGATGGCGATGCGATGCTCAGAGTTTCACAATTATTGTGCGAGAAGTATATTGCAAACGGAATGTATAAGAGGCTGCCGCCGGTTTGTTGCAAAGCTGGCTTAAAGTTAAGAGCTATCGAACTGTTAGTTTCTGGAGTATGCTGGAAGGAAGCTGTTCATCTTATACCGTGATTGAATAATGAGGAAAAGCATGTTTGGTTTGAAAAGTTAGCAAATGTGTGCATGACTAACGGAAAGCACAGGGCGGCGGCTTACATCTATTTGGAACAATGTTACAACGTCGACCAAGCTTTGAATTGCTACTTGTCAGGACACTTGTTTAAGGAGTTCATTGAGATCATAGAGGATTCCCTCTTGACCGCGCAAATCAACAAAAATGGTTATCGTAAGTGGTATTAAGTGATTGATTTTTATGAAGCCAGTAACGCCATCTCTTCATTTATAGTTTGCCAACTTACGGATACTTTAGTGGAGAATATTGAAAATGTGAAAGCGAGCGTGGTCGGGCAAAATGTATGAACTGCATTTTGAACGATTGAAAGTTGTTCGCGAAAGTCGCAAAGATCGGGCGGATTGTGCACTTGACGGCGACGACGCCTACTCTGAGGCGGGTAGTGTCACGACACGAAGTCATTCATCGTACGCGAGGTATTGATCTTTATTACCGCTTCTTTAATTATTCTATCAACATCTTCTTTTAGTACCACGACTCGTCGTACTCGGAAGCTTGAAATGAAACTGCGTTCGTTGCGACATGGTGGAAAATTTGAAGATATTGCACTGATGCGTGAATTGTATGACATTATAGCCGATGTCTTCAATATAGCGAAAGACTTGAGTAAATTAAACACCGTATACATTAAATATGCACAAATACAAACTGACGTGATATGTGATATTGTTGCCAACTTACAACAACGAATGAAACAGGATGCATGCATTATATGGATTCCAGAGTATGCAGAATTGGAAGATGATGTATTAACTGCAGATTTTATTACTGAAAATATTGTACATTTGGGTAAAGAATTGGACAATGCCGGATATTATGAAAGATTCCAATTCCTATATAGTTTCAAAATAGTGCAACACGAATACTCGGCGTCATCAGAGAGGAGGATAAACCCCAAGAGGGTTAGAAATCTATTTCTTCTACCTAAATATTACAATCACTGTATTAATTTCCTTTGTTCTGATTCAAGAGAAAAATACTGATTTAGTTCTAATAATAAATAATATTTTACTTAATTTTGTCATGTCAAACTCAAACCAAGAAGTTTAATTCAATATTATGTATCAATATTCTTTAATAGATAGAAATTTATCCACAGTATATAAATTGATTCAAACGCTCCTGAGTTTGTTTATATTACCAGTAAATTGCCACTATGAAATAAATTAACAAGATGATTCGCAACGTTACCGCTAATTAACTATTATACCCACAGGTATATTTCGGATTTCTTGCACGTATTATTGACTTTCGAAAGTATTTATTAACTCACCCTTCTACGAGTTTGCCATACTTCTTGGACTCTTCATAAGTTAACAATAAAAAAACGCATTCCTTTTAGTGGGTGAAGTTTATGACTGATGCGCTTTTATTTTATTTTTATTTTATTTTCGGATTTTTAGGAAAGTAGAATTAACTATTAGTATAAATCAAATTTTCTAAGATTTATTAAAGAATATGCCATTCTTTGGTCTTCGGTTCACTTAAGTATCCGAAGCTAAATGACCTAAGTCCTAAACTCACCCTTAAAAACTACCCCAAATTCTTTAAATTAATTTAAATAATTTATAAATAACTAGTTAACCCGGCAAACGTTGTTTTGCCATATAAATTATTTTTAGTTTCTAGATAAATTTAGTGTGGTAATAAAAGAGTAACTTACATATTATAAGTGTAAGTATGTAAAACTTGATTAACTGAACTAATCGTGCCAAATACACTTTAAAATTACTAATTTTATTATCTAAAAATATAAAAATGAATCGCAAAATGTGTTGGTAACCGCTTCCACTCAACAACGCTTCCAATCAATTTAGCTACTCTTCTTTAATATACTATAAAGTCTAAGGGTGGTTTTACGGCGACAAAAATTGGAATAATTACCGGGAAACGGGAAAGCTGGTGCTCTTTTTTCAATCGATTAACGAAACAAATTCTGCAGCCTTCTTCGACTTATTTTTGATTTATTGTTTTATATGGTGTTTTGTGCAATGTGTTTTCTACTGAGTTTTCTTTTGTCCACTGACAAACGAACCAAATTCCGCAGTTTTCTTTGATTCATTTTTGTTTGATTGTTTCATTTCGTTTTTTGTGCAAAGTGGTTAATTTATTTACGATCACTAAGTATTGCATGTGACACAATTCGGGGTGTTTTAGTGGGTCCCACTAATATAATTTGTTCTTGAAAGGGTGGCGAAAGTTCGTGGAAGCGGCCTGTCAAGGGAGTGACTGTCCTATTCAGGAGAATTTTTTGCACCGAATATAAAATAGAGAGAAACAAAATCTGCCACATTCCAAATTTTTTTAACAGAACGAAGTCAGTTGGGTCCGCTAGTTATGAATAAAACAGTAATAATTATTAATAGTTAATATGAGAGTTACACTGAGACAGCAATATGATAATTGGGATAACTCCTTTTGTCGGACTTACGGAATGCGCAAATCCATTTTGTTGGGATTCTCATAAATTCATCTAAAATCTTATTAAATCAGTAAATTATGGTAACTATGACAACGCAGGGGGTACGATGCTAAAAGACAAGTAGGTATTTTGTACTTTTATCACTGCTTCTAAAATGATAATCAATTTAATATTTGTATTCAAATAGTATGAAGTATAATTTAGTATTAAAACTTGGCTTAATTATAAAATTGATTTTGTCGTAAGGGCTGGCGGCGAAATGTATTGCTTTGGAGCGTCTATCAATATATTCTTGAGGACGTTCACGTTTATATTTGCAATAACACTATAGCTGCTCACATACAATAGTTGTAGAGCGGACAGAGACTAAATTCAGGGCGATTTTTAGTTGAGTTAGATGAAAAATCCAAGGCACGATTAAAAGCAGTCATCATGTTGATATTGTTGAGAACTTTAAAACGTTCTGAAGCGAAGTTGAGAGACTGAGAGAGAATTACATGCATTTAGTATATCTGCATTTTTCTAATGCAGTTTCTAAGAGAGTTCCACCCAAAAGTTTACATATTAGAAAAAAGTCGCAAAAAGCCAGTAAATTCTTCAGATAAATTTGTAATAAAGAAATCCATATATGTAACATATCAAAGATATTATTTTTTCGATTACTCTTCTTCAAACGCAATTTAAAATCAAAAACAAGAAATAATAAATACCATAATTGCGTTTTTTAAAATGTCAGTAAAGAACAAAAATAGAAATAATAAGCTAATTTGTGTAATTGAAGAACAGATAGATTTGAAACTTCCGCGCGCTCCGCACATTGCGCGCGGAAGTGACACTTTCTGCTGTCAAATTCCTGCTGCAGAGGAATTCACTTTGGGCAATGTTAATGATGTTGGAGAATCTTTGCGCTGGCGTGCGCAGGCGCGCGCGTTCGATGATGGGTGCTGGATGAAGTGGGAGAAATATGATACAGCAAAGCTCATACCTCTTTATAAGAAAATTTAACGTAACAAATAGGCTCACTAAAAATGGTTGTTTGTAAAAGTAGGTTTACGATCGAGATGTTTACGTGATAACGTCTTATTGGTGATATAAGTTTTGTTTGTTGCAATTGTTGTAACACTTCACTTGCACTTCACATTTTGTTTTACTGTTAAACATTCAACGATAAAAACTGGCGTTCCCGCACACTACAAACTTTATCGGCCGATAGTTTGGCTCGCCTTATACCCGTGCGCCAGAAGATGTATGCAAGTCCGCATTCCACAACGATTTTGTATCGCCGATAAACAAGTTTGATGGGCCACCAACTGCGTTCAAATCCAAACTATCGCACAACCAGGCCAACTATCGCCGACTGCGATATCAGTATGAGTTTCGTCGCTACTACCCCGCTTCCATTGTTTATAGTCGGCCGACTTTGGATCATCAATTTAGTTCGCTCCAGAGTATTGGTGCAGTCGGCCGACTGTTGCTCAGTGTGCGCACCCTCACCACAACCCAACTGTTTAGTTGGCGTGTAGTGTGCGCGCTCACAGCCCGCCAAATCCCGGATCAAAAATATCGGCCGATAAAAGTTTGTAGTGTGCGGGGAGCCTAAGGTTGTTCCAGGGGTATACCTGCGATCGGCCTCGTGAGGCCCTCGCGACACAGTTTCTGAACCGGTCACCCGTAAAACGATTTTAAAAGACGTTATCACGTCAAAAAGTGCGCGGTGCTTTGGCTGGGATAGATGGGATTGCATCCATGATACGAACCAATTTACTTTCCGGCATGTACCCCCAGTACCACCGTTATGACCGATGCACGAAGGCGTGCCGAACACGCAGGTGGGCGATCTAGGACGGGCGGCATATATACGCACCATCAAAAATAAATCACTGGGTCGGTACAATAATGGCGGGCGTGGAAGCAAATTCTGGTCCAGGATTCAAAAATGATGCTGCGCGCGACGCAGAAAGTAAAGTTTTTCCAGTACTAAGAGAGCACCTATAAGAGTTTGCCTGAAGAGAAAACCCCACCGTTTTAGAGCTCATCAAGCGCCTAATTCTGCTGGAGAAATACCATCTAATAGTAAAATATAAAATTTAAAAATTTAATACAACCCCAGACTTGCACCGAAAACCGAGTTCGCGAACATCCTGGGTAAGTGACATTGGAAAAATGACAGTTCAGGTTTCGCTTTGTTTACGCGCCGCTCTGTAGCATTGACAAGCGATGCGTCCACCAGCTTGCTTCGTATGTAACGTGCGAATCGCGAATCGCACCATTAGCGGCACGTCGTCACGTTTGTCGCCGTCTGTTGGCTAGTCCGCATCAACTTCTTGGGACGGATAAAGAAACGGCTCTCATGTACAAGTGAAGGTACTCGGCCAAAATATACCTTCAAGATAAAAACCTGCAAAAATATAAATTTACATGCACTAAACGTAAATGCCGTGCTCGTTAGGCAAAACATAACCAAAACGTGCAGCAACAGCAAACAGTATCACAACACGTTACAACGAATTACACTTAAATGCAATACCAGTGAACCCGTAAAACCAAATAATTCAAAACTAAAAAATGTATCACAAAACGATACATATATTAAATCCACAAATGGAAATTAGTGACTACATTAACATGTTAAAAATAAATCAAAATTAAATGTAATACCACTGCAAAGCAGCAGGATATTCCTGAACTATTAATTATAGATTAATATTACTGTGAACTTCAGTGTGTAACGCGTGTACAACTATTCAATTCTTGACTCGAGTGTCTTATCCAGCGGTTATTCATTATCAAATAACTGCTGGCGGCCATGCATGTTTCTCTGCGTCATTTGCCAGCGACTTCGGGTGGGGCCGAGGATCGTTAATTCATTCTCATTCAATTTCATTCGCTCTCTTTTTCTTCGTCTGTTGACTCATTTCGTCTTGGCATCGTTGTCTGAATTGCTGATCTCGATATGTCTTTTCGCCGATTCAATGGTTGAATTCGGTGGGTCGTGTGAGAAGGGAATGAAAATAGTAAGATTCCATATTCACGAGCAAGTATAATGGAATCAATATTTTTTGTATGCGTAGAATGACCGGCTAATAGAAGAAGTTGGTTATGTTTGTTTTCACTAATCGTGTATAGGCGATAAAATGTTTTAACCATT